AAAGACATATCAGCCGAAGGAGTCTCCACAGGGGGCGAGGAGTGGGGGGAAGAAAAGTAAGAGGAAGAAAAGGGGGGGGGGGGGGGGGTCGACAGCGTTGGACGCTGCTTCCGTAGACTCGTATACCGCATCATCGGTAGTACTGTTTGAGAAACTCATCGTTCGTCCTGCCGATCAAAGGTGACTGTTGCTTGGTTTTCAAATACGACACTTTGTGTGTGTGTGTGTGTGTTGTGTCGTATGCCGTGCCAAGGCCGGCGGGATTTGGGTATTGTTGTTGTGAGGACGTTTTTTCTGTTGTGGTAGGTCGTGTGGGGGTTTGGCTTCTGGGGGTATATCCATTCTCGGTCGTTTCAGATCTCGAGCTCTACTATCTCGAGCTTTCCGTTCCGCCCTTACGCTCGCGCACGTAGTCGTGCGGCGTGGGTCGTGTTGTCAATATTGTCTTGCCCGGTTTTCACTCGGGTGTCATGCGGGGGTGTTGTTGTGATGAGGGGAAATGGGTACTTCCGACGGTCGGTCATGGTTTTTACTCGTGGGCGTCATAGCAGAACACTCGGCTACTACTACTACAGCTTGCAGCCACACATGCATACATACTGTAGATGTGGAATGGAAGGAATCAATACCCCCTAGCGTAGCGTGTGCTGTGGCCATCGTTTGCAACGTTTTACAACAACAGTATCGAAGCTCTATAGTTCTGATAGCCGAGCCTGTCCGACGGTCAGTGGGGTTAGAAGACTTGAGACGACTGTCGATTTTGTTGGGCATACCATGCTACTGGTGAGGAGGTCGTCGTCTGTGCGCTACAGCGGTCAGCCTGCAGCTGAGAGACAATGAACGGCGAAAATTTTGTGCTTGGGTAGGGATGGCTCCGCGGGGAGATGGTAGGTTATGGTAGCATTGGAGTTGTAGGAACGGCTGTAGCAATGAACATCATGACCGACCGGTCTGCTGTAGCAACATGGCGGCACCAATAGCACCGCCAGAACGGGGTCATAGTATCCCTATAACCGGAGGACCAGGAGGCTGTCATGTAGGCCTGTACATCCGAGCGAAGTTTTGTCATCTTCTCCTTGTCATTCGTGTCGTCCACATGTCAAGGGGGGGGGGGGCGACACATTCATGCGGTCTGGTGGGGGGGGGGTGTACTTAATTTTGTTGCTGGAAAACACGGGCGTGTGTGTACTCCGTGCTTGTTTGCTTTTCCATGGTTGACGGGTGGGTGTGCTGTTGTCCCGGCGGTGTTTTTTCCTCCCTCTTTGTGGTGTTTGTTGTGATGGTGTTTTGTCTTGTTGGATATTGTTGTTGTTGTTGTTGCTGCTGTTCGTGGCGCTGCTCTGCGTGGCTCGGTGATGATATGGTCTTGTGCTCGTTGATTCTGGGGTATGAAACAAACCAGAGAACGCAGCGTATCCAGTCGACGTGGTACTTGACGTGGTTTTCGTGATGTTCAATTCAAAGCATGAACTGTAGTATCAAGGAAACTCGTTGTCCGGGTTTGTAACTTTGATCAGCGCGCGCTGGGTTGTTTCGATGCTGCCGTCTCTTCGTTGTTCAGTGTCCGGAAATCGTGAGCAGACACAAGTAGGTACAGTAGGCTACGCTGCTGAGTTTTCTTCGTCAAGTTGGTTGCAACGAGCGGACCAGTTCCCAAGGTCGTGAGTTTTGGGTACGTACGTGTATGTGTATCAACCGTTTTAGTGTCAACGCAGAACTCTCGTTTCGTACACGCAGTCTGTCTAGACTACATTCAAAAGTTGAAAAAAAAACATAAAACAGATGATTTTTTCTATTTTTGAATGAACAAAAACAAAACCTGGAGTTTGCACCGAGTACTACTGTGGTCTCCCACACTTTCTACAGTTTTCCCAAACGACCCATGGGTGACCCATGGGCATGCCCATGCCCATGGGCTTCCCATGGGTAGCCCGTGGGCAGCCTATGGGCGGCCCATGAGCAACCCATGGGAAGCCCATGGGCGGCCAATGAGAGCCACTCAATCGAACCAGTGTAATCCTAAACAATATAATATCTGCTTTGGAACGGGCCCTAGTGTTATAGGATTCAGATGTGTAGACGGAACATAGAAGAGCTTGGTTCCTTCTAGAAGGCGCGGAGAGATGTAACTCTCCGCGGAAGGATAAAAAGCAGGGGACAGGGTCTCGTAGCCCCTGCTTGTGCAGAGGATCCTGTGCCCCTTGGTGTCATTCCTACCGATACCCAAGGCAACAGCTACTGCTGCTGCTGTTCTACAAGAGTAACAACAAGTGAGTTCTTCTTCACGGGTCAACCAGACTTCATCACGCGTGCATACCACTACACTAGCGGTAAATAACCCTAACGCTAACCGTAACCGTAACCCCAAGCCCACACGATACGTGCTAGGTCAGCGCTCGCGGCTAAGTTCTAGGTTGATATGAAGGTGGCGAAGTGCTAGGTTGATATGCCGGTGGCGAAGTTCTCTAATTGGTTGAAGTGCCCACGGTGGGCTCTTCATGGGCCACCCATGGGCCGCTCATGGGGCATGCCCATGGGTCACCCATGGGCAGCCCATGAAGTGCCCATGAAGTGCCCATGGGCGGCCCATGGATGACCCATGGGTGTCCCACGGGTGGTTTAACAAAACTGTCAGTAGTGTGTGGGAGATTGATCAGCCAAGGTTCGATGTTTAGTAGTTTTTTCAAGGGTCTTTGCGAAAACGAATTCCGGACACATATGCCCCACTCCCCTCCCTCCGGAGGGGGGAGAAATTCGAAGACTTGCCACGAATCATCGAAACGTTACCGTACCATGAGGTTAGATGGATTGCCAACATGCCTCGCTCTCGTTACCCCTTCCGCATCTGCTCGTCAGAAGCGGGCCCACCCTCACCCAGCCGTGCTACAGGAACACACGTACGGTAGCGCCCCATACCTACAATAAGCCTGCAGTACATCGACCAAAGCTCGACATGAGCGAAGCAGCTCACAGCTAACCACCATCCAACACAACCACCTGCCTCGCAACCTACTTGCCTTTGTCGCTTCTAGCACTGCACTACAGGGCACATACTCTCGCAAATCTACTCGTAGCCTCAGTCCTGTAGGGTTACGTTTGACTTGATTAATCTACCCCGCTTACTCATGCGGACCCCTGCTTGCGAGTTCTCGCGCGGTGTCTCGCTACGTTCTCTGCGAGAGAGAGCTTCTGGGTTAGGGTTAGGGTTAGGGTTAGGGCTAGAGAGCCGGACGCCAAAGGGCTGACGCCTCGGCGAAAAAATCCGGGGATACACGGGTATATGTCCCGCCCCCTTCCCCCCTCCCCCCCCTACGGAGCCCGATTTTCGATTAGTAGGCCTAGTCTATGTGTCTTGAATTTGTTTTCGTGCATACCCTTGGTTTTCTATTTTGATTGTGGGAATGGAGCGCTGGTAAGTTTCAGGTCTATCTGTGATCCCGCCGCCACCCTCCAACCATCCCGCATGGCATGGGTGGGCAAAGTCCGCAATACTTGAGCACCCAGTACACATTACGACCGTATGTCACTGTCCTGTGTTTTGTACGAGTACTACGTTGTGGCGGGTGGCGAAGCGGGAGCTGTAACACTCGAAAGGATTCGTCGTGGGTCCCACCTAGCTAGGTGTTATCAGCTCTCTTTCTTGTGCGTGCGGAGCACGCTTGATGCAGCCTTGTTCGGTGGTGAGATGCCCGCCGAGGCTTACCGAAACCGCGTGGGTCCCCGGAGTCCCACCCATGCAAGTAGCCGCGCGCCCTGCGCGTGGATCAGGTGCTGGCGGCACGAGAGTAGCGG